GCTGGATGAGACGTGGGCCAAATCGTACGAGCCACAAATGAAACGCCAATCGAACGAATGGCGTCATTACGGGTCACCACGAAAATCAAAAGTTCGTCAGAACCCCAGCAATGTGAAAGTTATGGTGATTCTCGTGTACGGCTGTGATGTTATCCTAACGCATACCGTTCCCCAACAGCAGACCGTCAGTGCGCAGTATTACTGTTCATTTTTGGAACACAACCTGCGACCAGCTTTGAGAAAGAAGCGGCGACACTTTCTGCAGGACCCACTCATCGTTTTGCAGGACAATGCTCGGCCGCATGCAACGCAAGCTGTGGCTGATTTGTTCGCTCGATGGGGCTGGGAAGTGCTGTACCATCCACCATACTCCCCGGACTTAAGCCCTTGTGACTTCCACTTGAATCCTAAGATGAAGGAACCACTTCGTGGCATTCGCTTCAGAACTGTTCCAGAGATTCTTCAGGCAGTAGACCGCTCCATTCGAACTATCAACACAACAGGCGCTGCTAAAGGTATCCTACGACTTCCACATCGCTGGCAACGGGTTGTACACAATGCTGGTGACTACAGTGAAGGACAGTAAAACTTCGAAACATGCATCTATTTTGTATCAGCTGTAAATAAATAGTTGCCACTATTAAAGTTCCAAACCTCGTATATAAAAAAGGAGCCCAAATTAGTGAGATGCCAATTAGTGATATTTCAGTGCGCTATATTAGTACCAACATATAAGCCAACGTGCAATAAATAGTTGCATTTGAGGGCATGAGGTTAAGGTAGGACAGAAAATTGGTCATTCATAATGTATAAGTACTTTTACAGCTTGGCAGTCCTGTCAGTAATACGCTATTTTCTTTACGTACAGATGTGCATCACACGCCTTTGTTCCCTGATATTCTGAGATGATGTGAAGCGGTATTTATTTAGTCTCATGCTTGGCGTGTTTATGTTACTTATGTATCCTAACACTTTTATCACTTCACCTACCATACTGCATCTTTATAAAACACAATCATAAAGTTGCTCCGTGAGATTACAGTAACTCAGCGCGCCGGCAGAACAATGCACTCCTGATTGCAGGTATACTAATTCTGCGATAGATGTGTTTGCCAAATAGACTGTCAGTCATCAATCATCATTTTCATGAAAAATGTATATTTAAAAGAGCTTCTTGAAACCTGAATTTTGTGTTTTATATTCCCCGTCCCCGCTGGCCTATTAGATTTTAGCGGCGTTGTGATTAGATTGCGAGTAAGCGGGGCCCCTAGTACTTACACATATTCTCCAATGGCAAAAATAAAGCTAAGAAAGGCCAATAGTCCGTTAAGTTGAAGATACAAATTATTTCTACTAAACTGTTCATATCGGTTATACTCAAGAATAATTATCATTATATTTCATAGAACATTCACCATATAGAAATATATTCTTACGTTGTGCAAAGAATAAAGGAAGAAGACTTTTTCCTGTAGACAGAAATCAGGACTCTTCAGTTATTGAACAGTCTCTTCTAGAGGTGAAATTCTAAACTTGTATTCGAGAGGTTCTCGAATCGAATCTGAGTCAGAACAAGGCTATCCTGACAGAGGCTCTTCGTGGTTTTCGCAGTCCCTCCAGGCAAATGCCAGGATAATACCTCGAGCAGGCAATTTCTTGTAAATAGTTTTTCAAATTTGCCATTCATCTACCATCCTATAATCCGACGCTGTTTCGTCTCGACCCTGAAAGCACCGTTAAACAATGTGCGGGAAAAAGTTCTCCTCCGCTGCTGGTAGTGGCCCATCGTGTTGATATTCTTTCCTTTGAGATACGCCTTCCATTACTGGCTCTTATGAGTGCAGGAACAATGATGTATCCTTATTCCGTACGTATATGATTATATAAGAAAATTATGCAGGCAACAAGCGGAAGTCATACAAAATCATGATAACGAAAACGTTCGCAATATTGGACAAGGAGAAGCCCGACACAGAAAGTATAAGATGCTTAAACCTGGCGGCGGTCAGGCATACCACCGTTCAAGTGATTAGACTACTGTGGTAGCGAATACTGCCAGAAATAGGGCAAAATCTGCTGTACTGAGCCTGGACTGACAGAGGCCTTGTATATATTGTACACAGAATTAGAAAGTGAGATTAAATTTGTAAATATATGTAAATACTGACAGTGGACTTACTAATACAAGCTATGGCTGACAAATGACAGACCCGACCTCTCGTCAGAGAGGGCGCTCCAAATGGACAGGACAGTAACTTTCATATAAGAAGACAGACAGACTGACCGGCCGTCAGTCGCAATGCGACTTGGACTTAGTTGTAAGTTAGTATACACTTGACGAAAGGTCAAGCGTATTCATAAGAGACAAACCCATCTTCTCGTCAGAGAGGATGTTACATAACGACTATTACCGCAAGATTTCAGTTGGAAAAAAATCTCTGGTCGTGGATCTCAAGGGGCCTGACGCCAAGACGAACTGATTGGCGGTAAACTGCCAGTCGTAANGGGGACACATGGACACACAGACAGCAAGGAGAGCTCGTAAGTCCCCCTTTTTAAATATGGAAAGTAGTCTAAAAATAGAACCACAACGTTTCGGGAATCAGATCTGACCCCATCCTCAGGTAATATTTACTTGGGTCCGATATAAAGAGTTAATATCAACAATCAAACAATAAGAGTCTTATGGAATCAGACTACAGAAGCCACCCATAACAGGCTTTGTCACTGCGAGATAATAATGAAATAATATTTAAAAATTTGTTTTCCAAAACATGTCATAATTTTAATTGCATATTTTATTGTTATCTCTCAGTGGTAAAACACGATATAAGTGGTTTATATATTGTTTCTTTTTATTTCCATTGTCCAGTGACTGAGCTTAGCTCTACCCTTCACGTGATTACGGGAGCACCTCAGCGTCTCGAAGTGTTTTTCATATTTCTGCAATATACTCTTAGTAATAAGAATCGATTTATTTCGTGTGGGTGTGAAACTTGGTCTTTAGCTCTGAGGGAGATGGCTGAGAAAGTATGCAGATTACATTGATCCAAATAAGAAGAAGAGGAGAGTGGAGAAAACTGCATAATGAGGAGCTCCATAATTTGCACTCTTCAGTAAATAATCCCGCTCCTGTTCTGAACCTTACCGCCATCTTTGAGCCGATTGTCTAGATAATGTGGGACCCTCAACGTCTCACAACCCTATGGGCCTCCACGGCCTGTTACAGGAATAGCTTTACTTTACTTTACTTTACTTTACTTTACTCCTGTTCTGAACGGTATCGCAGGTTCGATTGGTGGAAAATTAGGAAATAATATGCACAGGAAAACTGCTTGTGGTACCACCTGCTCAGAATCTGTATTAGTGCAGAATGTCCTGCATGCCAATTCCTAAATGTTGTCTACTCGCGCATTCCCAATCTGACTGCAGTTACGTAACGCCTCTGTTGCAGTGCCTGCAAGTATAACCAAACGTCTGAATCACGAGCAGAAAGTTACCCAGGAAGAAGAACTTAAAGAAGAATTCATAAGTATGTTCTTTGTGATTTTGTACAGCTCATATGTCTTTCTGATCGTTTGGGTGGTTTCGTGTCAAAGCGGGAAAACTTATGTACTGGTGCCTTCTCAAATTTGTTTGCGTTTTAGTATACTTGTTGGGCATCTGGAGGAAATAATCTTTGTTAAATTTGAGCCCCTGAGGTCTAATATTTTTTATGATATTGTCACGTGTATCAGTGTCTAAAGACGGGGTTCGGATTGGTAATTGGATTTATTAACCACCTACAGGTCATAACTACAATTAATTGCAACACTTACAAGATTACTGTAATTATAGCACATAAAGTATCCTATATTTGCTTACACTAGTCGTTGATAGGTAACAGATCTAAACAATGGATATTGCTCTGCAAAGTTTTCCCTATCCGTTCTCTGGCAACGGATTTTAACACAGGAACTATGATGTTACACTCCAGATATCGCTGCATTACAGCACACATGAAGTCTTCAAATCACACGTCAAAGTCTTCACAGGCCGACTTCTGATCATCTTCTACTACGAACTTCTCATGGCTATCTCCTACCGAGGACTGACTCGTAGTCAAAGTCATATTGCAACAGACGGTCATTCAGTCAGTAAGTCTTGGTGTCGAGCCCCAGTTATTACTTTTTGACAGTTTCGGTCTTGTTTTTGTGGGGCGCCCTCTCTGACGAGAGGACGGGTCTGTCTTTTGTATATGCTTCTGGTCCTTGCCAGCGTAGTCTTTCTCGGGTCCGAGTCCCTTAGGATTCGCGACTATGTTTTACTGTCTCAGATTTGAGACTTCCCTTTTCGTCGCCTCATACGACTCGGAGGGTCACGGTGGAGGGACGCCGATTGTGTTCAAGATAACTTTTCTGCACGGACCCCACAGAAAGCACCGTATTTTATTAAGAATGCGTGTTTACAGCTTCATTGCCTGGCAATAGACGTCCAATTCTTCATTGCATTTGCTTGACGCAGACCGCATAGAATACACAGTTTCCCCAATATTGTTGACACGTTCTTAAGTGGGGGTGTTTACCGACCGTCGCATAGAAAAGGCAGTTCTTCTATTATTGCCTATATTCGTTTCCTCCTTTATTATTGGAACGGCCATATGTCACAATATTCAGCGCAAAATTTATCTCAATATCGTAGATTTTCGATAGAAATCTTTCTGAAACCCCTTCTGATGAAAAGACCAACGATACCTCGGTTTAAAGCTGATTTTGCGCCCTTTATAATGGTGGGTGTTGCATGTTATTATTTCACATACAATTGGAGACATGATTTTTTTTTCTGAATTTCATCTCCTTTTCCCCCACTGCACACAATGACTAAAATATGAGAGTATACCTTGTTTCCAAGCTACGTAATAAGTCACTGATATGTTGGGATTTTGGACTTTATCCATCGTCCTGGTTTTTAAGATAACAAATAAAAACACGACGTTTCGGAAACTGGATCTGTTTCCGTCCTCAGGTGAAGGAAAACACCTATTTAGTTGGGTCCCTTAGAAAGAGCTAGCCTCAATCACTGGTCCAGTGATTGAGTTTCCGAAACGTCGTGTTTTTATTTGTTATCTTAAAAACCAGGACGATGGATAAAGTCCAAAATCCCAACATATCAGTGTGTTATACACCATCGTCAGAATCCTATAGTAACTACTTACGTAATAAGTGTCGAAACGGATTAAATCCCAAACGCCTCCTGTGTAGCGAAGCAAGAACAAGTCCTGCTGGCACGAGCCTAGCAGAGAAGCACGTGTTGGTTTATCGGGTTGCGTGGGCAGCCTTATCACTTGCAGCACCTTTTCGGCGCAAGGAAAACTCTCGGATTCACAAACACTTCCTTATGTGTTCCTCTGCAATGCGAATGACATAATAATACTAGTTATATTTATATAGTTATATATAAAGTTATATTTAGTGAGTGTTGAATCCATGAAGAAAACACTGCAAAATTGTTGTCAATTAATATTATTTTATTTAATACACATTTAATGCGTTTTCATGATTAAATACTTTGTTGCATTTATTTTGAAAGAGATTAAAAAGTTTTATGCCGTTGTTTATGTGTAAATGACAAAACGATGTATTGTCCACTGTTGTTCCAACGGATTCTATGGACAACTTAGACAAGGAACGCAAAATTTTCTTAAGAAACCTGTTATAAATAGCTCTCCTAGTCTTAAATTTCCATTAATTCCATTTTTAATGAAATTCTGCTGCATGGCTATAAAATATATTTTTTTTCATTGCAAAATTTTCTAGAAAATATGTCTATAAATTCGTCTGTTTTGTTAATGTTTTCCAAAGCATTTTTATCAACAGCTCCCCACTGTGCGTACTGTTCGTTATCCACCTCGGCCTCTTCAATGTCAATTGGTTTCATAGTTCCGACGCCCCAGGGTCCAAAGCACACAGATGAAAACAACAAGACGGTTGTGTGGCATTACACACGATTTTTGCAACACAGTCACTGTAGACCTGTGTCGGTAGATTCTGATTCGTAGTTAACACTGCAATATTCACGCCATCAGCCACGAGACTAATATTCTGAAGTGTCAACACACACACAGACAGAATGTTTACCAGCAGAACTCGCTAAACCAGAACGTTGTGGTCTGAAATCTGCAAATTTAGAGAAGCGTAGTTAAATACAAAGATATTTGTCTTTGAAATTTTGATATAGATCCATAGGATTGAACATCACTAGTTTCTTTTGCACGTGCTACTTGTTTCCATTATTTATGCCTGTCACAAAACCTTTCTTCCTAGGCATAGTTCAGCTTATTCATACGATTCATAAAATTTCGTGATTAACTTCACCGTTGCCCCTGGCAGACATTTTAGAAGCTGAAATAGGGATATGACACGAGCCAAAGACGTGTGCAACCGTTATAAAGGGGTGAAATCAGCTCTAAATCCAGTCCTTGTTCAGCTTTCTACCAGAAGGGGTTCCAGAAATACCACCATCGAAATGAGCGATTTATTAAAAGAAATGATAAATTTGGCGCTGAATATCGTAGAAAATATTAGGCCAAGGGGGGCTCAAACTTCGTAAAGGTTGAAGAAAGCAGTCTTCTGGGATTTGGCACCGTGTATATGTGGTGTTAACCGACGTTTCGGAGGAACGTATCGCCTCCATCTTCAGGGTAGAAGAAAAAGTATAAGAAATCTGCAAGCGACAAGACCGTGAGAACGGTAAAAGCTTTTACCACCGCCGTGAAAGCCTCAAATCTTACATTCGTAAAGGTTGTTTCCTCCAGGTGCCCAGTCAAGTAAATGAAACGTTAAAAAAATAATAACCGGTTTTTCCTGTCCGATTTGACATGGAATTGCCCATTTATTACAAATTCAACTCTATTTTAAATACTCGTACGAGTACATTATGCATTAATTACTTTCCTTATACAGTAAACCCTCGCTAATCCGGTTACATTTAATCCGGATTGAAATATGAAAAACGAAAAAAATCTTGCCCACAACTGCGTACATACTCTAAAAGACACGTGGAATTTAGGGGCAGGAGGACTTTCAGACGGTGTTGAGGGCAGCTGGAGAAACTGAAGCCAAGACTTAGATCCCGACCGCTTGCTTCCTTCTGCATCCTTTCGAATTCACCATTCACTACCATCCCGTAATTCGATTCTGTTGTGGCCTGAGATGCTGTCAGCTTTGTAGAGTAAACTACATACGAGAAGTTCTGTGAAGAACTATTCCATTTTGAGTTTCGGGTAAATTGCTAATGGCATTCACAAGTACAGTTATTCTTGTTTCCAAGTCCACGCAGAACCCAGAACCATATTTTTCTGTCTCACCCCTCTGAGTTGTGACACTTTTCCACTCCATCCAGTACATTCCTCCTGGGCCTCGCCAGCACAATCATCCTTGTTCTCGGGCCAAGATGGAATCTATGAACTAATTTTGTTCCAAGACCGTTTATGTGTTTGGAAATTGAGTCCCTTCTTTGAGAAGAGCAGGGAGCAGGGCGGCCGGCGCCTAAGGCTGACAACCGCACCGCCATCTCTGAGCCGATTGTCTAGAAAATGTGGGGACCCCAACATCTCACAACCCTATGAGCCTCCACGGCCTGTTACAGGGATAGCTTTACTTTTTTTTTTACTTTACGGGTCGCACAGAAAACACCACGACCAACAGTTCTTCTGTTGTTGCCTAGGGAGACTGTTTACCGAGCCGAAGCCTAGCAACTTTACGGGGGGATACAGAGAGACTCAGCCAGTAACGTGATTTCATAAGCCTTCTTTAATTTTATTCTAAATAAGTAAAGTAGGCTAGAAATGCAGAATTGTTTTTGTGGCGAATTATTTGTTTGTGAAGAATGATGATATCGATTTGAGCTCCATGTAAATGAGGGATTATACGTACATTTGCATAAGTATCTACATCCTGACTATAACTACCGCTTCAAAAGTGCCATCTGTTTTTAGCCCAGCTTTCATGTTTTATAAAGAAATATGAATTTATGGTGTACTCACAGGGCCTTTGTATATGTGTCCTCACTAATACCTAATATTACCCTGACATTTGCTAACACTGTGTGAACAACATGCCACCAGTGTTCACCGCCACTTCATAATTGCTTACCATCGATTATATGGGATGATGGCCACTCGACTTTGAGCAATAAGATAGGGTTCTCATAATTTTCGATGTAGTGTATCATCGGATTATAGGCCTGTGCTGTTTTCACTGTAGCCGTTCTCAAGATTCCAACTGACGCAACAGAGAAAAAGAGCTCAAGTTTTTTTCTTTCGTTTCATTGCTTAAAGCTTAATATGCTTACCACAATTTGAGCAGGTGTTCCTCGAGTTCTTTCCAGTATTTCTTGTCTTTGTTTACATAATTACACTATAACACTCGTGTAAATTTCCGTGGCGCTTGATGGTAGGTTGACTCGGAATGGTGAAGCAAGCAGCAAGAATTGCTGGTGTAAGATTTTGCCATACTACTGTAACATTTGCTTGGATGGGCTCTGGAAACCATG